TACAGATAATCTTGTGTCGGGAAATTCAGGATGCAGTATGTAATGTTTCATCATTCTATGGCGAAAAGTTTTCTTCCATATCATAGCTTAGCTTTTTTACCGTATTAGTTCATTGTTCTTATTCATTTGGTTTTCCCGTAGATTCCTTTTTTTATTTATAATTTTTGATTTTTCAAATGAGAGTGCGCTTTAAGGTCATATTTATTTTCGCAATTGTTTCTTTTATCTTTTTTTTATAAATTAGAAAAATATTACGAAGAAAACAGAGAGAGTGATACATTACGAATTAATTTTTTCATTCATTCTGTTGCAATTTGTGGAAATGGCTTTGGAATTTGGCAAGTTACCGGTTCGAATTTATAGAATCATATACTATAGTTTATCACCATTAGAGCAAAGAATTTGGGCAAAATCAATGACACATGAAATACCCAATTTGTTTAGAAGAGCAATGCATGTACTTCCGACGATGCTTCCAGGTATGTATTTGAAATTTAAGTATTTTATTTATTATTACTAATATTTATGTTAATATGAAAAGAACATTTTAATATGTTTAATATTCTTTAAAATTGTATTAATTTTAATTAGAATTTATAAAATCTTGTAAATATGCGTAGAGATTCTAATCAAAGCGTCTAAATGCTAAAACATATAAACAAACTAATGAAAAACAGCTAGATATAACATAGCTGTATTTAATATTTTCATAATGAAATAGTTTTGAGGTAGATAAATTATATAGTTTCATTATTAATATCTTTAAGCACTTAACATATCTTTTTAATATATGTATTGATTTTATTTCTCTTTATATTAAAGCTTTTTTTTGTTATTTCTAAATGTGTACTTTTATTCTTGGAATATTGACTTTCAATATTACAATTCTTTACGAAATTAATTGGTAATATCATATAAAAAGTAAATATGATAACGATCTAGTTCAGGTAGAATATTTTACAGACTATTTTAATTTTATTTAAAAGCAATATTTTAATTTAATTTAAAAGCAATTTGTTTATTTTGTATAATTTTTTGAAACAACTGCATTTATAATCTTTTCGCATCCAGATGCAATCGTTGACTGTATCGAACTGTGAAATTTGTTTTACATCAATTATCCTTTCCTATAATCCTTTTCCATCTTTCTTTTTCAAAATAATTTAAATATAAATATATATATATTTAATATATATTTAATTACAAATTTATTTAAAGTTGTACTAAAGATGGCAAAAATATAAGATAAATATAAATAAACACTTTATCAAAATTATATGTTTAATTGTAATCATTTTGATGAAATTGCAGCATGCTAAATTATAGCAATAATATAATATTATATAATATAATATTTAACTTGATAAGAGATTTATATATGAATATAAATAAGCGAGGATATATATTGCTTTCCACATATGCGTACTTTCGTACAAATAAATTTTATGACATATTCTGTGTTTCAATGTTTCAATTTTTCATAAAATTTTTTATTTAGATAAAGAAAGATTTAGGTATACAAATATTTCTGATGACATTTCTATATTGGCAATTATATATTTTTATTTTTATAATATCTTTATATATAATAATAAAATTCTCAATTATATTATTCAAAGGTATCAGTTCTATATTTATATTTTCCAACTAAAATAAAAACTGACTTATGCAAATAGTAATATGATGACGATATGTACAGATGTTTATGATGTCAATATTGTTGAATAATATTACAACACTATTTGTAGCACATCGTTTTCTGTTTTATGCTTTATTTGTCTGTATTTTATTTTATTACAAAGGAAATTGAAAAATATTATTAAAAAATATAAACGGTATTTTTTTAATATCAATTTCAAAGATATATTGAATATTCAAAGATATATTCAAAGATATATATATTTAATATCAATTCAAAGATATATATTATCAATTTTGTAAATAAACAAAAGTTCTATAAAATATTTAATAATGTTTGTAATTTTAATATACTAGTTATACTCAATTTTTAAAAATTTTTAATTTTGTGTAATATTTGATTTAAAACTTTGATTTAAAAAAAATAAAAATTTGAGATATTATTCTTTATAAGAAGAATTTATAAAATTGCTTAATATAAATTCAGTTATGTTTCTTAAATAATTAAAAAATTTTTTGTTTTAAACAGCTTTTTATTGATTTTGAAATCTAAACTTTATTATTAATTAGAATTATTTATAGAAACTTTTATATATATATATATATATATATATATATATATATATTATATT